TAATTAATTGAAATATTAATGTTTTTTCCCCTAAAGTTACATTTCTTCAGACTGTTTAAACTAACTCATCGTAAATTATATATTGGTATTTCCTCCAAACAATATAATACTTATATCGCTATGTTTCTGTGGACATACCTCGTTTGTGAACCCAGAATGCACCACGAAAAGACAAGATCGTCATTAAATTAGTGCCCTGATGATGCAGGCAGCAAGTACCTCTGAAACGTAGCAACCAGACAACACGACGCAACATTCCAGATGACAGTCATATTTATACTCACTGCCTTGAGACCCTGAAATCTCACCAATTAAATGGATAGTTTAAAGCATAATGTCACGAGGAACTTCGGAAATTATCTCAGGTCACCTGTTGGTTTTGTTAGGATGATGAAGTCGTATGGAACTGTCTCAAGGTCGAGGCGAGTTGGTAGAACCGATGTACGTATTTTAAATAGACCACAGTATATTTTCTTTCTATTTATTTTTATGAATAATGAATTTCCTGAAACATCGTATTCTGCAGGTATCGGGTTAGCATTTTGGCCCAGGGAACTACTGCCCTGACTGAGATTTTCGTGGGTTTTCTCATAACCAAAAAACTGGAACAGTTGCAGAAATTTGTTATTTTAGCAAAATCTCTTACTACATTACATTCATTATGGTGACAGATTTCATTCAGCATCTTGAAAGTCGGAACTTCCCCACGAGAGCGAAGATGTTTAATCATGTAAGCACTTAAGCAGCTTGAATTGATTGGTTTTATACTACTTCTGCATGCAAAGCAGCGAGGTTGGGTACGACCTTACACTTGCCTCAAAGGCCATTGTGGTGAGGAACAGGAAGTAGCCTTGGATTTTTGTTGTTTGTACAGTGTATGACTTACGAATTGGTAATGCTGAGACACGGAAACGTTGATAAGATTTTTTATTTATTTACGTGGTGTAGAAAACTGGATTTTAGAATATTTTAATCGTAAACAAGACAATTAAGTAGGCGACAAACCTGTACATACGTAGCATGTCGACTATTTATTGTATTTGAATCTCAGCGCCGCGTACACGTAGTGCGTGAAGTCTTTAAGAATGATGGGTTTCGACGTTGCATCCATAGATTGGAAGTGTAAATAACAACAAAGAATCGAATCAAATTACTGTAATTATTACACGCCATGTGGATGAAATTACACTACTAATATTCAGTTGTCAGATTTAGATTGACCACATGTGCGCTGTTCTCATAACTACGTACGCCGTTTATCAGCTTATCGGGTTCAGTAATCCGAGCTTTATCAACAGAAATAAAGGTAAGACTTAAATATGATTTGATGATGACGGAGTTGTCAGCCTGTTTTATCACTGCTATTGTTTTAACAGGTCTGCAATTAACAATAAACTTGTTTCTAGCCGATGCCACTCTCTTACAGTCATGAGTCGGTGGTTGTAACGAGCTAGGTTATGTGCGGACCGTCCTCTGGTTTGGTCATGGAGAATCACAAGTGGTAGGCAGTTGGAAGTCGACTGTTGTCGGGATCGGTCGTTACCGGCCTCTTGCCTTGTGCCGAGTGCTAAGAACGACGAAAGAAAAGCTCAGCTTTTAATTTCGAGTTTTTAGTTCACTCTGCATTTGTGATAACCTGGTCTCTTTGTGTGTTATCTAAGTGTACTAGGCTTATTTTTATAATAATGTATATACGCGTTCTTCTGTTTTCTCGTTAACAAATTCAACCAAAATTTATTTTATATCTTGTGTAAAAAGGACAAGAATAACATTGTGGTCTCTTGTATTTCTTAGAATTTTAATTAAGAAATCTGTGACGAAATTGAATGTTTATTATTAACTACGTCTAGTACACCATTTCGTCTTCAGTATTTACGCTTACAAAGAGGTAAGTAGAATTCAAGAAAATAATTATATAACTTTACAAAACAGTGATTGATAAACTCTGAGCACGCTTTGTACGTACACTAAAACGCTGTTCTGGTGGTCTATAAAAAGTAAGCTTACACTAAGCAGGTAAGCATCAGTAATCTAATCCGTGAAAGGACTTTGTGACGTCACATGCTTACTTGCAATACCTGAATTCTTGACAAATGTATTCGAACATTTTTTATTATTGCCGATGTTTCCATTGCTCGTTGGCTGAACTACATTTAATACAAATATCATTTCGGCAGTCTTAAGACAAACGTAAAGTAGCTTTGTAAAATGTTCGCGTCTAGGAAACTGTTAATGGTTTTTCGTATGTGGTGCATTATAGGGTACCACGGAAATTTGCAAACAAAAACACTTGTTTCGTGTGTTCAAATCATGCCAGAAATTGTTAATTTCCGTCCTTAACTCAGCTAAGCTTATTAATTTAATGAACCGTCCTTAATCGCTCACTGAAATGCCTTTAAAGTTATGTTAAATTATGATGGTGTATAGAATGGTATGTCTGAAGGCAGCATGTTGAATATATTGCATAGTGGATTTTCCGTTTGTCTTACATCATCACGAGGACTCAAGTATGCGAGTTAAGTTTGCTTAAACTGTTAAAGTAACGTTCAGTTTATTTCTTCGTATGCAGCACTTGAGTTGAGAAACCTGGCGGAATGGGAGGATAATATTAAAGTCTGTCGTAAACAAATAAGATGTGGGAATGTGGACTGGATTTACGAAGCTCAAGATACGGTCCATGGCGGGTTCATGTGGACATGACAATGAAACTTCTGTTCTATAAAATGTAGGGAATCTCTTGACTAGTTGATCGTATTAGCTTTTTAGTGAGGGCTCAGGTTAGTGGGGTTTGTTAAATTATCAAATAAAACATCTGATTTTGATGAGCCGCAAATTTTGAAACTTATCTTAACGTTTAGGCAGATATTGCAGTTTCCATCATCAGGGCAAATATACGAACTTTTTACATTCGACGCGGCTAATCCCAGAATGTCGAAGTTGTACATTTAATTTCAGCCGCGAAAACCTAAGGACAATAATTTGTTTAGTTACAATTTTTGTACTGGTTTTGCGTAAGACGCTGGCACAATCAACCCCTTGTTTAGGTTTAACACACTTGTAAGTAGGCCTCTGTTTAACTGTACTGTGACTCTGTGTGTAACTGGCCAGTTAGTTGAGAAAAAGCCGGAAATGTTCTTTAACCGTTTCTGAAGGTTAAGATCAAAATTGTAGAGTATTTGTATTCTGAATTCCATAAGAAAATAACTCAAGGCGTAAGATTTCTGTCTTCTAGGTTGCAGCGCTGTGTAGTCTGACAGAAGTTTACCAAAGTTTCAGAGGTCCTTGCTGCCGCGCAGCTAACTGATCGCCCTGATGATGGAGGCAGAAGGACCTGTGAAACGTCGGTAAACTTCCACCAGACTACACAGCGCTACAACCCAGAAGACAGCCATATTTGTTCTCGCCGCCGTGAGAACATCAAATCATACTTAATTCAAGGTCTAACCACGTGAGAGTTCGTTAATGTTAGGTCTATTATAATTTCCGTTATCGGTGACCTCTACACGTGCGATTTCCATATAGCCGGGTACCTGTTTGCCTTCTGCGTCTTTTTAGTAACACGACGTTTTACGCATCACTTCTGTTTCTCTGGGAAGTACTCAGTAGTCTTCGTTAACAGATTTGTTGGTGTGTTATTGTTATTAATCTTTACTTAAAATTACAATAATATTTAAGACTTGAGGTTTTCACAGCGGTGAGTATGAAGATTTCCGTCTTCTGGGTTGTTGCGCTGTGTAGTCTGGTCGATGTTTATCAACGTTTCAGAGGTCATACTGCCTCCGTCATCAGGGCGATGAATGACGGAAATCTTCAATAATATTTAACTTTGGTGGTAAATATTTCATCATGCATATTGAGAAATCTTGGATTGGATTATGATTTTTTTCTTATATATGTTTTTGAGCTTAGGGTGGCTTTGGAATTAGGTATACCGGTAACTGATATGAGACTAGTATTGATATTTCTACATCCCACAGACCTCAATGGCTGCTCTCCTAGGACTAGTTAGATTTTTATGAAGTTCATAAACAAACAGCAAAATAAATTAAATAGAAACAAATGTCGAAGTCAAATACTTTCACAACAGCTCAACGCAGGTCTGTGTTAGTCCATAAAATGCTTAGTGTCGATGCTTACAACTACCCGAGTTAGTGTTGTTACACATTTCATAACATATTCTTGCTGAGCAGATGACGTCAATCCATTCCAAGGGTGTGCAAAGTGTGGCCTCTCGAAAATGTAATGAAATGTTTTTTTTGCATGTTGTCCGTTGTAAGATTGAAACATAATAAATTCCATGTGAGACCGTGTCTCTTTGTTTACGTAGAAGAAGTTGGCCTCCGAAAGGTTATCCCTTGTCACGAGGTAAAAGCAGATCACGCCTGGAAACGCTTTGTCACGCTTTGGCACGCGTGATCACAAAGTCGCGCGTTGGCACGCATGCGTTATGCTACGTAAGGCTCGGTTAATTTTGGCTACTTTGCAATACGTTAGATTAAGTTTCGATATGATGAGTTAGGTTAGGTTAGGTTCAGTTAGGTTAGGTTGTGTTAGGTTACGTTAATCTAGTTTAGTAGATTTTGTTAGGTAAGGTAGTTTTGAAAGTTTTTGTGACGTTTCTACACTTATGGTCACAACTCGTCACGCCGTTACAGTACGTCACGCCTAGTCACGCTTGAGCACGCTTGTTCACGCTTAGACACTTTTAAGCTTCGTCGTATTTTAACACGTATGGTGACCTTTCGTCACGTCTTCATAGCAGGTCACGCCTAGTCACGCTTTCACGCTTTGTGAAACGTCGTCAGTTTTTGACAAATGTGATCATTTGTCACGCTTGGGCACGCGTGATCACTAAGTCACGCTTCGGCATGCTTACGTTATGTTACGTAAGGCTCGGTTAACTTTGGCTACTTTGCAATACGTTAGATTAAGTTTCGACATGTTGGGTTAGGTTAGGATAGGTTGGGATAGGTTGGGTTAGGTTAGGTTAGGTTAGGTTTGGTTGGGTTAGGTTAGGTTGTGTTAGGTTAGGTTAAGTTTGTTTGGTTAATTTTGTTGGTTTAGGTAAAGTTTTGAAAATGTTTGTCACGTTTCGACACTTATGGTCACAAATCGTCACGCCGTTACAGTAAGTCACGCCTAGTCACGCTTTGTCACGCTTTGTAAATATTCGTCTCGTTTCGACACTTCTGGCCACTTCTTAATCACGCCGTTACAGTACGTCACGCCTTATCACGCTTGAGCACGCTTGGTCACGCTTAGACACACTTTTCTAATCTTCGTCGTATTTTAACACTTATGGTGACCTCTCGTCACGCCTAGTCATGCTTTATCACGCTTAGTCACGTTTGGTCACGCTATGTGTAACGTCGTCAGTTTTCGACAAATGTGGTGATCATTTGTCATGATGTTACACCAGGTCACACTTGGGCACGCGTGATCACAAAGTCACTCTTCGGCACGCTTACGTTATGTTACGTAAGCCTCGGTTAACTTAGGCTACTTTGTTGTACGTTAGAATAATTTTCGACATGTTGGGTTAGGTTAGGATAGGTTGGGTTAGGTTAGGTTAGGTTAGGTTAGGTTCGGTTCGGTTAGGTTAGGTTAGGTTGTGTTAGGTTACGTTAAGTTTGTTTAGTAGATTTTGTTGGTTTAAGTAAAGTTTTGAAAACATTTGTGACTTTTTGACACTTATGGCCACAACTCGTCACGCCGTTACAGAAAGTCACGCCTTGTCACGCCTGGTCACGATTTGTAAATATTCGTCACGTTTCGACACTCATGGGAACATCTCGTCACGCCTAGTCACGTTTTGTCACGATTTGTCACGATTTCAAATGATCGTCACGTTTCGACACTCATGGGAACATCTCGTCACGCCGTTACATTACGTCACGCGTAGTCACGCTTTTAAAATCTTTTTGATATTTTACCACTTAAGTATGACGCTTTGAAAGAGGTCACGCCTAGTCACGCTTTGTCACTAATATATTTATAATACATATGTAATTGAATATACTGGATTGGTGAAGTGGTAGTGATGATTCGAGTGATATGTCAGAAAGCGATGGTCTGTGAGTGGAAAAATTGGAAGAGGACCGAAGAGTTGTGGAGAAGATAAAATTATCTAATACTCTCTGCAGTGTTAATTTTCTAGTGATGTTTAGTTTAGTGAGAACGACTTTCCTGTGTTACATACCGTGGTGATATTTTATTCGGAGTGTACTGTACGCGGCCTGCTGCCATCCCTTCCAGGAATCTTCTGGTAAGTGACTCGCTCCGAGGTTCCAACCCTGGAACCCTGGAACGCAGTATAACATCAGGATCTTTAGGGAGTATAGTGCGTAGGTCAACCTTTAGGTACTGGTTGTAGAAATGCGTACAGTGAAAATATAAAGTATGGTGTGTGATAAAAATGCAGATAATAATATTGTTATCTTCATCGTCAGTGGCAATTTAGTGGGTGAATGAAGTGTTCCTTTGTGCAGAGTTGGAGGTTAGTAGCAGCCATGAAGCTTGGTGTGGGCATCGACACAAAGCCCGACGTTGCAGACGAAAACCAGAGGCTGGAGGAAATCAACGAGAGTGTGACGGAGAGGATGACTGGTGTCAAGGTGAGTGGCGCTCGTGTTTCGTATTCGAAACAGCTAAGCAGACCTCGATGAAATTTGACGCAGTCGAGCGAATTTAATTTTTGTTCGTATCTCTGAAGATCCCACTTTGTTATATAAAATAAAATTGTAAGCGCCTTTTTTATTTTCGAAAACGATCCGAAGTCTCGGCCCGGAGACCGGCTGTTCTGACCAAGAGTTTCGTGGTTTTCCTTAGTCTATCCATGCAAATTCCAGAATAATGCCTTAGACCACAACCGTTTTCTTTCTGTAATTTGAAAATGTTATTTATTAATTGCCCCATCTTTCGGCGTTATGTAGTCTCAGGTACTATCAACTTTGTTAAATGAACTACAGATAAATAAATATATTAGTCCCAATAGCGAACTCCTGTAAGCATGATAACGGACATTCAGGTTGCATAATGATTTGGGTGGGAGGGGGATGAGCCCTTCGTCTATCTGAGAGTATATAAGTGCAATTTTAGTGCAAACCTTTATTTGTGAGACTGTGAAGAGAAGTAGCAGGGTCTACTTTTTGCATGAGAAGTTCCCGAAGTGAAAATAATCGTTACACTTTTTAAATATAGTGACCGATTATATTGGTCAACAAGATGTAAAGAAACTGGTTTACTTTTGACCGGTTGAGGGTTAGAAATACAGCAGAATCCGGCATACTTGCTGTTTCCTCAAAGTTTGATTAGCATGCATGACGACGTGCCTACTGTAAGTGACTGTATGTCGTGTGAAGGATGAATTTGGTAGGAATGGTGTGAAACCAAGATTCGGAGCGTATAAGAGCGTGTTTTTCAGGAGGAACAAGGGGGGGGGGACCTATTCCTTTCATATAAACGTGTTTAAGAATGTCCACATAGCTATGTTGACATTCCTAGTGGAGCGATATTAATAATAAAAGAATATAGAGAATTTTCTGATGCATAGACCTTATCCATTTGACCATAAGGCAACAATTTGAAAGTCTGTCCGTCCGTAAAGCGATGTTTTAGTGATTTCTTTTCCTTGACTGGCAGTGTTCAGTGGGACGTACACTAAATTTACAGTTACGAAGTTTCGTTAGAATGGTTTCAGGTCATGGTGGGACTATAGTAAATTGAACATTTAAGAAAAATTAAAGCTGTAGGCAGCTCATAAAATATTACATTTTAAGTAGGATTTTAGGTTCTCACGGTGACGAGTACGAAGATGGCTGCCTTCTGAGTTGTAATGTCGTGTAGTCTGGTAGGTGATTGCCGACGTTTTGGAGGTACTTGCTGCCTTAATTATCAGAACGATGATCACTAATCATCATGAGTGAGTGTCATTTCGGTTAGCATGTCCCCATCGAGCCACATTTTATCTTCCGTCGCTGCTACATGTCAGATGACCCCTGTGTCCTAGCCACTTTCACTTTCTAGTCCAGCTCGGGGCGTGGATGTTGTCTGGTATTAATTGTACGTTCTACTTTTCTAGGTAGGCAGAGACGTAGCGTTAGTGTGAACAACAGTTGTTTCTCCAAACAGCGCTCTGTTAAAGTATGGACTGAATTTTTAAATATTACGTAGATGAGCTTCGTTGTTAAAGGATTGAATAAAATAAATTTATTTTATTCGAGTTTTTTTACACACGGACAGATAACCGTTTAAGGCCTTAAAGGAGAATGAAAGGTTAATTAAGATAAGCAGATGCAAGCGAAGAAAGTTTTGATGACGACACATTTGGTATCATAAGTGGTTTGGCTGTGCTGCAGTCTTGTAGTGTTAAGATATTGGAAAAAAGTCGCCTCAGGGCAGTGAAAGTGAGATCACGGATTTCAACGTCTGTTTCCGAAGACAGTAGTTGGCAGGTTGTCTGTGAGTGACGTTCTGTAGCATATGGATGTCAGCTTTTTGTACAACGCTTTCAGTGCAGCTTGGATCATGCTGGCTGAAGTTCTGTTAGAGGTGCGTATGGTTAAGGTAACTTAGCAGCTAGCTTAACTCGGAAACAACGATACATCCCGTCTCCTCGTTTACCATTGTTACGTCTGACGTTCAGTTGGCAAGACTGTTCATGATGGCTGACCATCGAAAAAGCATTGGTCATAAGTCCAGTTCATTAGCATTGATGTAATTTAAATGGATAATTTAATTGTTAGAATCGTATTTAATTATGTTGTTACATTTTAAGAGTACTTGGCGTGGAAAAATGTACATTATATTCAAATGGAAACGATAGGTAAAAATATATAAACTTTCAAATGTAATTTGACTTAACATATGCTGAGTACCGTGTGGGACTATAATATAACTATGTTTGTATCAATAGTAGGTACAAACTGTGTCTGTTAATCCAGGACAGCTCAGTTCGTAAAGCGACTAACACTGATATTAAATACAGCAATGTTTCTCAACTGGGAGTCCGCAAATTATGCCAAACGGGTCCGCGAGTTGATAGATTCGACTCTTTTATTTTCTTATGCTGTATTGATAAAAGTTTCAAGCTTTATTTTCGTAACATTTTTACTTGCACATTGGAGAAAAAAAACGAAATTAACTGTATGTTCTATCTATATTTTAGTTAATTTATATTCTGTTTAATCACAATTTTTGTGATAATTTTGGGGAGGGTTTCCGCGGTACTAGAAAGGTTGAAAAACACAGAAATACTGGACAGGGCCGCCACTGAAATCTTGTTTCGTATTAGAAAGCATTACAGTGTCCATTACTGCTTTTCTCTTATGCGCACGGTGAGAGTCAGAACGTGCCATCGAGACAGGCAGCTACAGTGACTGCCAAATTAGCCATAGTATCTTAACCAACTCTCGTTTAACCAAATGGATGTTATGTATGATGTACAACTTGAGAAATCGGTTCTTCTTCCAAAGAGGTCACGCATCGAAAAATCTTTCTTTTACGAAGACGTACTTCAGCTTTATTCGCAAATGCCTTCTGATAATAACGCCCTGTTTAAATTAATAGGCTAACGACCTGTTTCTCCCTCTGAGTCGATTGCCTAAATTGAGAAGATTGTTGTTAAGAGTTTCTCCTCCACAGACCGATAAAACAGCAGTGGCTTTTTTTTTTCGAGAACTTGTCCTCTGTCTCACGTTATGTAGTACAAATAATAAACTACATATCTAATTATTATTAACTCACGAGTACGAAGATGGCTGTCTTCTGGGTTGTAGCGCCGTGCAGTATGATAGAAGTTTACCGACCTCTCTAAGCTCCTTGCTGCCTCCAACATCGATGCTTTGCGGTCATCGACCTGATGACCGAGGCAGCAAGACTTCGTGGCTCTACGACTCAGAAGACAACCATCTTTATCAGTATTTATTTTTTTCGATCTAGCAATTAAAGAATGTGTTAACACTTCTTCTGGTAACTACTAATGAAGAATTGTTAAAATAGTGAAACAGGAATTATTGTTCTCCCCTTGTGATCGTGGAACTTCAAATACGTAAATTTCCGTCTTCTGGGTTGTTGCGCTGTGTAGTCTGGTCGATGTTTACCAACGTTTCAGAGGTCATACTGCCTCCGTCATCAGGGCGATGAGTATGAAGATTTCTGTCTTCTGCTTCATACTCATCGCTGTGAGAACCTTAAGTCTTACATTCAAATACGTAAGTTGTTTCTCGGGAGTGGTAAAAACGTCACAAAGCGCGAAGTGTTGAACTGCGTATGAAGGAACTCGAACTGCGGATAATTTACATGGGAAAAGGATTGTAGTGTGTGTGCAAGAAATAGTATTTACATAGAAATGCGCATGAGAAAGTTTGTGAACCGAAGGATGAAGACGTATGTTAAGGCTGTCTATGCGTTGTATGCGCAGAATATCGAGAAAGTTTCCGATGCGACAAGGATGACTGATGACGCGCTGTGGAGGAGGTACGCTAAGCCATTCTGACCTGCATCTTAGAATGCAAACGCTGTAGGTGTTATACTGTCTTGGATATGGGTCTGTATCAGCCCAACGAAATAAGGATGCAGAAGAGATTGAAGTTATAAACCGCTGACACACAAAATGTCAGTGTTCTCCTTCAGACAAGCAGGCTATCGCCATTAAACAGGATATGTGCCATCATCTCTCGTTATTCTTGTTTTTATGGCAACGTTAAGATTCGGAATCAAATGAAAGGTGATCGGAATTTTTAAGACTTCGACCTACTGAAATAAATATCTGATTTATGAATACCACACAATTTTTCTGACTGGAGCTCAGTGTCAAGGACCCTAATTCGTCTACTTCGTTCTTAAGCATAGATAGGATTGTTTAATTTGAACGGATTGAGAATCATTACGCTACTTATAAAAATCTCTAGACACGGTAAACCATATTTGTCAAAACAGCCGATGGTTGTAATAAACATTTGCGAAATTCCGAACGCCACCCATTCCAACTTTCTACTATTCACTGATATAATGGCAGAAAGCCCCTTAAACTGCAACACTACGAGCTTTTTTTAAAAAACAACAAGTATGTGAGGAATGTTTGCTTTAACATGTAAGTCTTTACTCCTGAAGATACCGTGGTCAGGTCGAAACATGTAGTAGACAGAGAAATAAATGATGTATGATGAAAGTAGTGTAGATGATTTTGCCCATACAATTTTAAAAAGCTTAAGTACACAACACGATGCAATCCATAAAGTTGGGTGGGCTGATTTTGCTCCGATAAGACCATTGAGTGAACCATCCGTGTGGAAGAATCTTATTATGTCACCAAATCGTGTACGAGGTACTGAGTTCGGAAAAGTGACACTGAAGTTAACTAACTAATGGTGTGTATTAGAACTACAGACGAAACTCCAAGTGAGATTACTTTACCTATGCTACTTTCTCCTGATAGAAGTCCCTCCCAGAGAGATCTTTAAAACTGTATTTTGTATGTTACGTTGCATGAAAAGGTATTGAACCCAAGGCGATCGTTTGCATGCATGAGTTGCAGTGTTCCGTTATTTATCATTCTTTGTACACGGCGCACTAAGTGAGTGCACAAACGGAAATTGATATCTGTCGTCGCGTT